CTTTCTTTATGATACAAGAAATCATAGAGGCACAAATTTGACGTCATAACAGATGTACAAATAATACTTTCTTAGATTTTTGGATAAGTCTGCCGTCTCTTGATTGCTGTAAAGCATTCGAAACATCGGGAACCAAAAATCAAAACTAATCCACAAAAACATCCTAAAAGATTTTGTTTAAAAGACAGACGTAGAGTCACAACAAGTAATAATAGAGAAGTTAGCAAATAAGCTAAACAGGCAGAGTTGGGTTAATAGAAAAGACATATGGTGCATCCATACGATACAGACATGGTACAAACCTTTGTCGTACAGACATCTGTACAGACTGAAAAAGTTCACGTAAATATGTCGATAAAATGTTGGTGCAGACTTTAATCAAACGAAACTTCTTACGTGCGTACAGAGAGAAGTACACAAACTTTACTTTTAGGAAATTTTTGCCTCGGGTTATCTATTCATTCGTTAATTATTTTTCTATTAATAATTATTTATTGACTCCAAATCATATGTAGACAAAAATGCATACTTTTAATTTTCATTCATAGCTCCGACTTTTCCAATACACCGACATTTTAGTGCACTGCTATGTTGCACAGACAAAAATCTATAGGACCACGGACCATTAGTGAGATAATCGGTATAGCTAGATTAACTGAATAAAAAATTTAAAATAAACAAAAATCCTATTAATCCTACTAATAATTAATACTATAAACGCGAAAGTTTTTAAGAATGTATAAATGGATGTATGTTTGTTACTCTTTCACGCCAGAACGGCTGAACGATCTGGAAGAAATTTGGCACAGAGATAGATTATAGTCTGGAATAATACATAGGCTACTTTTTATAGCGGAAAAAATATACGGTTCCCGAGGGATAGGTTTGATTTTATTTTCTAGAGTATGTAATATAGTAAAAGAATCATATAAAAATCTTAATGAATTATTCCACTATCTGTGAAGGCACTAGGTAATTATTATGTTGACTTTAAAAACCTTATATCATAGTTTTCTTTAAACAGAAATTGTTGAGTTTACAGAGCCTACAGTACATTTTAAAACTTTAAACGTGTTCGCACAAATAGGTTTACGTTTGCAAAGTAGGTCGATGTAAGGCCTTACGCCGCTTGGGGCTGCTTGGGCGTCTACAATGTTACCTGCTGTACAATGTGAGCAGTTTGAAGTAATTTTACTTTCCTTTTGTGCATTGAAAATATAATCTATTACTAAGACGGTTCTGGCCTTTTATTCGATATAAGCCTTTTGTTTAATATATAACTGGTTTTTGTAAAAATCTCATAGTAAAAGACGGTTTGGTGAATGCCTTCCAACGATTTAGTATGAGAAAAACTCAGTAAAAAGTGAAATGTATAGATATCGCACTTGGAATTGTAGTCGATCTCACTTCGTAAAAATATTAATATCAGTAATGCAAATTTAATTTTTTTCCATGAAAAAAATGACTACAAAATATATTTTTATTTGAAGGTGCCACAAAGACAAACAAAACTTTACAGCTCAACTCAAAGCCTGAAAATTACAACATTATTTACATACAAATATACCACATTATTCATTCAATATTTCTAGATAATTATTTAAGCTGCATGAGAACAACGTAAATTTTCACAAATGGAATATGCACACAACGATTACGCTTGAATCTCGAGCGTTTATAAATATTTTGAGCGCTTTAGCAGGCAAGTAAGACAACCTCTGACGTCATTGTATTGTGTAGTGGAGATGAATGACGCAATGAGGCTTGGCATCGCTACTCCGACACAGTGATAAATAAAACTATTTAAATATAAACTTTTTAATCATCAAAAAGCTTTCAGTATGACTAAAGCTTATGCTTATAGAAATAACCCTTGCTATTGTACTTAACCCTTATTTTTAGCCCTTTGAAAGGTATAAAATGGAGACAGAATGAACTTTTTTTATTTTGATTTCCTATATAGATTTGTAAAAGCTTTTTAAGTTCAACTTTTAGTTTTTTATTCAACTCAATACCAATGAAAGTGTCACCTCTTTTAGAACAATTTAACTAGCATATGGAGCTCAACAAATATTATTTCATAAAATTACCAATTACAAAAATATATCTTAACTTTCCATGCTTTTAAGTCAATTTTGAATTTTTAAAAGCTTTTATTAAAATCCAGCCTAGTTTCTTTATGATACAAGAAAGCGTAGAGGCACAAATTTGACGTCATAACAGATGTACAAATAATACTTTCTTAGATTTTTGGATAAGTCTGCCGTCTCCTGATTGCTGTAAAGCATTCGAAACATCGGGAACCGAAAATCAAAACAAATCCGCGAAAACATCCGAAAAGATTTTATTTAAAAGGCAGACGTAGATTCACGACAAGTAATAATAGAGAAGTTAGCAATTGATTAACATATACATACAAATATTTTACTAGCTCCGTTGAGTCCAGTCATTGTGCCTATGCAATGAAGTGGAATGACATAACGAGGTCTCATATCGTCTGTCCGATGTGATTGTTCTTGTTCGCTTTCATCGCTATTTGATATCAACTATATGGTTGATAAATTTTGATAGTTTCTGAATAAACACCTAATATATTTATTATAATACTGGCAATTCACCCTCGCTTCGCTCGGGTTCGTCCCTTTCTTGCTTGACAATACAAACTTTCATCCCCATTTTCACCCCCTTAAGGGATGATTTCCGGGATAAAAAGTCATCTAAATCGGTTCAATAGATCCAGAGATCACCCTCCACAAACTCACAAACTTTGCCACTTTATAATATTAGTATAGATTCTCATTTTACTTTTGTTAGCATCCTAAATCGTATCATCGTAAACAAAATAAACGTTAATATTTTTAATCGTATTAACTATCAATATTAAAAATATAATAAAAAAATTAAAATATTAAAATACCAATGAACATTTATTAATTCTAAAAAATCTATAGTATAAGTTCATGTAAATTTTACTATATTTGTAATGATTACTACTCGCTTTAACAGAATGAGTTAAACTTTATATTATAATATTAATTTTCAAAGTGAAAAAAAATTAGCTTCACGATATCATTAAATCAAAATTCTCACTAATATTATAATCCTGAACTTTATTTTAAATCAGTTAATCCCCTAAATTGCCAGATTAGGATAATTGTTTTTGCGATGTCTGGGTTATTTATTACCTAGCAACAAGCTAACACCCTTAGGAGGACAGCAATTACCAAATTATAAATAAACTACGCGAGCGAAGCAGTGGAGAATAACTAGTTTACATAATACTTTCTTAGATTGACGCGAATATTTGACATTTTAAATCAAACAATCTTTTCGGTTTTTTCGTGGACTTGTTTTGTTTCTCACTTGATCATGATTGCTGTAAAGCATTCAAAACGTCGGGAATCAGAAATCTAAATAAATCCGCGAAAAAATTTGAAAAGATAGTTTTATTAAAAACTTACAATAACTAATTTTTCAATATTGATTTTGGTGCTTCTGTGGATGTTTGATTCTATAACATAAGCTCATTTGAAGTTTTTTTCAAACGAATAGTAGTAGTTACGTGTTAATTTTATGAAGTTATTTCTATCTAAAAACAAAATTAGCTTCTTACAAAATCAGATTCATTGCAACAAAAATGAGTTAAAACTAAATAGTCTAAACGAATGCATGTAACATTTTATTAAACCTAATTAGCCTTATATCGAATGTTGAGAGACCGCATCAATATGAGTTACATACATGTGACGTGTAGCGGACTTGTTTCTGTCCCTGCACTACGCGGGTCATTTGGCGCTATTGACCTAAATTAAAACGAGGTGTCTTTCTTTCCGCAAGGTAAGATATTTTGTAAAATGATTTCAAAATATGACAATTTCACATTCCATAACGATTTTAAGTTTTGCTGCTCACATTTAAAGATATTTGAGGAATAATTTATCTTTGATAATCAAACGTAGATAAAGAATATCATCTTAAAAGAGACAGTAAAAAATTGAAAGTACAATACTGCAGCTAATCATCGTAGTGACACTACACGAGTAGCTTTCTCAAATCATCAAATCTTCTCAAATCAAATATAGAATTTCAATGAGCATGTCTTCGTGATTCTTCTCTTCTTAAAGGGCTTGACCCATTTTGATGGGTTTTTTGTGTACTATGTTCTTAGCAACTATAGATGGACTCAGTAGGTATAGGATGTTGTTGATAGTAAGAAACCCAGAATTGTTGTTGGACAAAACGACTATAACAGGACATTTGACACGTCTGTCTACTGAGTTCGCTACCCTATAAAGCAATTAGTTAAGGATGTAATGAATATTACTTAAGTTGAAAATGCTACTTAAGATAAACATGCCAATGATGTCACGCCGTTTCTTTTAAAAATGGAGATAGTTTATTATTAATAATAATATTTTATCTCGATCTTTATTCCCTCCATGATCGCGGACACGCCGGCGTTACAGTTAACAATAGATTTCTTAGAAATTTAATTAATTTCTTTGAAATTTACCTGGAGGTGTAAATAATTTAATTCTTAATGTACCTATAAGACACTTAGCTATTCTCTCTACTGTACTTTAAGAATATTATATACTAGCTTTACAAAGTCGGCGATCAATTGTAAAGTATCGTATTAATAAAAGTTTAATCCTACTTCGTTAATGTGTTTTGTGGCCCGTGGCCTACTTTCTGCGGGCATTCATCGTGGCACTTTCATTTACCGCCTAATGTAGCGTAGATGCCCCCGTCTGCGTCCAACTAACGACCGGGTAACGTCACGTGTGACAGCAAACTTTAACAATGAGCTGAATTTGGTCTAATTCTATATAGAAACAAATTAATATTATGAATGTATAACTGCATCATATCTCTAATTAATATCTTGAAATATGGCAAGAGCGAATCGTTTTTATGTAAAAAAATACTCAATATGTTATAATATTACTAAATATATAGCAAAAAACTACAAATATAATAAATATCAAACATAGTATCTACAAAACCATACCTGTAGCATACGCCGGTTCGAGATCATCTTCATCATCTGTGTGATGTCTACTTGAGGCATGCGAATGTGAGTGGTGAGGCACACCGACATGCACCGGTTGTATAGGTTGTTCGTAGTGTTTGTGGTGATCCACGTACACTCTGTGGTGGTGCGGGCATGGGGTCGGCGGCAAGTAGTCTGCTAGTGTCCCACCACGTGTCAAAGTAGACCCCGCACTTAGCGTCCCGCCACCAGAACACGAGGCCAGAGCACTTCTCACAGATCCTAGGTCTAGAGAAGGTCTCCGTGACAGTTCTCCATAGCTCTCGCCGAAGAGAGCACTAGCCGGCACCGCGTGTCGCACTTCGTGATGATGAGAGTGACCGCCGTTCGACGACGAATGAGGAGATGCAGAGTGATCGCGGCTATCTCTAGAAGTGGATGCTGTATGAATAATACTTTCGTCGTGTGTTTCCATCACCTCCCTCGCGGTTGGTGGGTTCGGATGAGAGTGCACTACTGATGTACCCGCGCGTCGCGGACTCCGACCGCGGTCCGGCAACACCGATGATGCAGACCAGTATCCCCACGCCATATTTATTTGTTATATTCTATTCACTGTTTAGCACTGACCACTAGCCATATATAGGAAGACTTAGTTGACTGCGGGTAAACCGAGCATTAGAAGCCGGGAGAGGACAACTGTGTAAGCGAACCTAATCTCCTTTGACGTCGCACCGAGTCGGACAAGGCTTTGTGACCATATAGCGTTTAGGTTGAAAAATGTTAAAACTTTGTATATTTACAAGAATAAATAAATACGTTTTTTGTTACACGATAACACCTCTAACTTCTTCTTTAAATGAAATTATACAAATAAATTTATAATTCGACATTAATGGGATAATTTAATATTAGTTTTATAGGAAAATGGAATCGATAGTAAAATAGAAAGTAAAAAAAAATCTTTAACCAGCTAAAGAAAAAAAAATATCCAAACTATTCGTACTCTTGTCTAATCCGCGGTTCTCAGTAGAACGGGCGTGGCGGTCTGTTCAATCAGTAGGTTTTTTATTGATTGCGCGATCGTAACTTCCGAATGGGGAAACTTTGGCGTAGCAGCGGAAGTTTCGTTGTGGTGCCGTTACATTACAGAACGAGCACCCCATACCGCGTAATATGTTTTTATTGTATCTGTGGTTATTTGTATTTAAGGGGAAAATATTGTATTTCGGTAACAGAAATATATTAATTAGTGTACTTTTAAAGGATTTTTTTATGTTTAATTATAGGAGTAAATTGCGTCATGCTTATTGTATTTGGCGATATAAAGGCAGGCAATTATTTGCGATTAAATATATAATAACAAGATAAAAACCTATTAAAGCCTTGCAAGCAATATTAATATGAGTCACTGATAGCCAAAACAAACCAGCAAAACTATAACAGTAATATTAATTCCGGCATACGTAATCCTTTCATACGCGACCACTGAGCTTTATTTTATATCTCATTGCGCTGATAGTATCATCAACTCAATATATTGGGGTTCACAACATTTCTGTCCATATAAAAGCGAGATTATATATACAGAGTATATACATATAAAAAAATTAAAAATATATTTCATGTCTATTTTAAATTCAAGTGAAGTTAAATAACGAATTATGTAAAGAATTTTCAGCGATTTCGAATGGCTGAATGGCCATAAATATAAAAATAACTGGCTACTATAAGTTTTTATTTTGTCCTACTTCTTTTAGCAAACATTATTATAAAAATGTTGTTAAATTTATAGCTCCACACTTTTCCCCTATTCCTACTGTCCGCTTTCCACGATTATTAAACACTGTTCAAGTTTCGTGGGCGTCGAGCCCTCTACCTCGAACGACTACTCATGTTAATGAAAAACAAATTAAACTCACCTACCGCAGTGATTTTCTTTAGTGATCTAAAATAAAAATTATATACAATGATAGAACAAAAAATGGCAAATTTTAATATAAAATGATATATGTATTGAAAATTTAGAATATTCTTAATATTATTATAATTAAATTATATTTGAGTTGTTATATTTAGCAATACACTGGACACACGATCATGCTACATAACAATTATCCACTGTTTGTATGGAACGTTTAATTAATAGGCACATGACTTAGATTTACGCGAAAATTTGACATCTATATAAATAAAAATGAATGTTGGTAAGCGCATAACTCTAGAATGGCTGGACCAATTCGACAAAAAAAAATTCGTATGTTCCTTAAGGTCCACGGAAGGCTAATAAAGAGAAAAATGAAAAATTAAAATTTATATGGCTAACGCTGGCTAATAACTATTTATATCTATTTAAAACGTACCTACAGTTTACTGCAATCGTGGTCACGGTAAAAACAAGAATAGCCATATAAACTCTAAAGGTATCCAAAATTACTTGTCAGTCTCTAAAACAAACTTGTTTACGATAAAGGCTGCATTGCAACGTTGCAGCCGTCGATAACGTTGCGGTCGCTCGTAGATCAATCACTCGCTCCGTAAACAACCGGATTGGCAGTTTTATGACATTAACCTGACTTACGCCACTTTTATACCAAGTGTGATATTGTACTATTTTAGCATAGATTTTTTTGTTGTAACACCACCCTAAATATGGTGATTACCTTTATAATTTCATTACGAATAATATTACATTTATAAATATATTTTGAAACAAAGTATACTATTATTAACTAAAACTGAATATTATAAAAAGAAATGAACGATTCGATTTTTTCCTTATCTTCCAAACTTATACGAGTCTAACAATATTATAATATATAAAAAAATTAACAACATATTTTATCTAGAATTTGGCTTGATCTTTATTTTACAATCATATTTCAGAAACGAAATAAATTAGAGCCAAATTTGTCACACTCCCTAATAAAGATATATGAGATAAAAAACGAAGCCGTCGAAGGGAGCTTTTTGTCTACAATCGATTTCCAATTTGAAATCTACGCAGTCTGTGACCATTTGAATTAATTACAAATCTGCCCGATGCTGCAAAAAGTACTTACACCGACACTGTGCGACATAATATGAGGGAACGTGTGACCAACATGATCAAGTTAGCATGTATATATACTATCATGTAAAAAATATATATACCAATCTTTTTTTTTTCATAATAATAATTTTTATTAATATCTCTAAATTCAACAAATCATTAGTAAAAAGAAATGGGTTACGTATCGCTTCTACATCTGCGGTTCCTCTATAAATCTCACTACTATATAAATGCAAAACTTTGGATGGATTACTCAATCACGAAAAACAATACGGACCGAACGAACGAACAAGAACGGATCTGGATGAAATTTGGCACAGAGATAGATTATAGTCTGGAATAGCAGATAGGCTACCTTTGTCTCCCGGAAAAATGCACGGTTCTAGTAGGATAGATGAATTTTGTTAATTACTAAGAATGATCCCGAGCGAAGCGAGCGTGAGCCGCTAGTAGAATAGTAAACTTCAGTTAACATTTGTTTCATAGTAAAAGTTTTTATAAGTAAATTCTAGGAAAAGAAATTGTTTATTCCAATCAAATGAGAAACTTATCTGTCGGTGAGTACTCATCTTAACCAAGTTGATCGTGTTCCAGGACGCTAAATGAGATGGAAACTCTGCCGATACATACGATAAGCAAGGGACGTCTATTCATTGACACGTGTGATCGATACTCGATAGCTTGGTGATTTGGCTAGCGTTCTTAGCTTTTCCAAGACTGTATTATATAAACATACAATTTTATAAAAAGTCATTATTATTATTTATATATACAATAAGTATATTATTATTTTTTTATTATTTATTTTTTTTACATTTTATACATACGAGTTATTATTATTTTATATATAGTTATAAATGTTAAAAAATATATGTATATGTTACAACATCACATTTAATTGTAAGGTTATTCCTTACGGCAGATTTTAGAACGACCTTTTGCTCAAATAGATATTCTTCTCTAATAGGATATGCTTACTGTATCTCCACAAGCCCTACTCACACAAGCTGGCTCGCCACACCTTCAAACACTGTTGCTTCATCAAACGCAATTCTAAGCACTTTACCTATTAGGTCTTATATTATAGTCTATACATATAATAAAATTCTAACGAATCTTATTGGAATAGTCATTATTATCATATGTCATATAGAAACAAACAGGACAATATTACAATAATAATAATAGGATAACAGATAAACAAATGAAGTTTCCACATATTAAAATGCAAATGAGAAGCAGACCACGATGAAAAAAAAGAAAGTTAAACACTAAACTAAAAATTTACAAAAATTAACTAAAAGAAACACTGACACACCATGTACTTGTATATACATAAATAGAATATCGTTTCATATAGCGGAAGCACGTGGATCAGACTGACACACTAAGCCCGTCAGATGAGGGTGTGCGGTTGCAGTGTGCGACGTGATTTGGGATTTTACGAATTCGATATTGTTTCAAGTTATTTATTTTCATCACGAAAATGGAATTCTAAAATGTACAATGTACATATTTTAATTTATTTTTAGCTTTATAAAATCATAAACTCAGTATATTTGCTTCGATCTTACAATATTAAATTATTATTAAATGAATTATTCTTGTATATATGTACATACAATATGTATACATTTCATGTATCTCGGAAACAGCTCTAATGATTTGGATCAAATGTTGTATTTAGATAAGGTTTTCTTTAAGTTTATCTATATAGATAATAGGTTCTTTTCTAAAAAAAACGCAAGAGTTTTTTCTATTTACTCTCATGCTGAAAGTATCATAATAGCGCCCTCATGTAAATTGTTGTGGTACTCGCATTGTCGTCAATGGATGAAAGGTACTACTGATGATGCTACTGAACAAAGGTCTACGTCAAGCGATGCTCAGTCGCCCATGAACTTAATATTTTATACGCAACGTAATGCAAAACATGACTCGCCTCTTTGGGTTAAGTAAGTAATAAAATACTCATATATGTATACTATAAAATACTCATATATCTAGTAAAATAAAATCTATACTAATCAATAGAAAGCCGATTTTTTTGTTTGGTTATACTGCGATAACTACTGAACCGATCGGAATAATACTCATACCATAAGATGCAGCGTGTTCCGGAGAAGGTTTTAATATATGATACGTTGGTGATTAATGTACTATGCGGAAAACTCTAGTTTAAAAAATATATTATAATGGCGTATTGCTGATAAACAAATTTGTAATGCGCTGGGAAATGGCAAATTCGATGCACGAATGTTCACGATTATACGCATGCAATGTTCTTAAACTAGATGAAAACGAATAACCGAGTTATTAATATACGTAAAGCAATATTGCGTGATACTTTACTTAAGAACCAATCATAATATATATTTTTTATAAATTAAATAAGTTCTATTTATAGTAAAAATAAGTTCTTCACATCGTGTTATTTTATGTCATCACAAGAGTGACTCAGTGGTTCGTCCCTAGGTTGATTTCCCATACGAACTTTCATCCCCATTTTCAACCCCTTAAGGGATGATTTCCAGGATAAA